GAGCGGTTCCAGGGATTCATCCATGCTACCAAAAGTTTGATCATACCTTGTGGAGTGAGACCTCCTGCGTGGAAGCATGCACCGACCACGTGCAGCAGCACCCGTCATCTGGTGTTCTTGGTGTGGAGGAGCACCATGGAGCTCGGTGGGCTCCACCACATGTGACCTTACAGTGGTTGGCACTGTGACACCAGCACTCAGTGATGGATGTCGGTTTTGGCTTGTGTTAAGACTTTAAGCAAGTCCCTTTACCTCTCTCTCCTCTGTTTCCTCATCTGAGAAAGGATTAATTGAAGCAGTGAGATGATAAAATGAGATACGGAATTGGAAAGTGTTTTGAAAAGTATTCCTTTTAAGAGAGATTTTTGCTATAGGGAATGTGCACTCACTGGAGAGATAGAGAGCAAGAAATCATACCCCGGGGGAGTGGCCACACCACAATCCCCTCTCCATTTTCCTCTCGGAATCTTGGGCACGTATGCATACAAGTCCAGAGTGAGTTTTTTAAGCCACTTTGTCCTGGACTCGAACCACAGACTATGTGAGAGTCCAGCAATGTAACCATTACACCATCTGCTGGTCCTGAAAAGTATTCATTCTTGTTTCTCAGGTAACCTGAGAATACGGCCTCCCCAAAACAGCGGGTTGCCTGGGAGAGACCCCAGAGCCCTTGTGTGATCAGCATGTCCTGGGTTTGAAGGGTATGGCTGGTAAGGGTTGGGGTGCTTCCGGCTTCCTATCACGATGCTCCAAAAAGATACTGTCCTCCGGAAATGCAGTCAGTACAGTGCCCTAGGATTCCTAACAGGTGAAGTCTTTGGGAGTATCATGCAGTCCGAGAGCAGTTCCGTATTCCCGCCCTTCTTTCCCTTTTCTTTAGGGGGGCACGTGGTACGGAGTGGACATCAACAATGAGGATATTGCCGACAACTTTGAGGCCTTCGTGTGGGAGCCGGCGATGGTGCGAATCAACGCCCTCACAGCCGCCTCTGAGGCTGCCTGCCTTATCGTGTCCGTAGATGAGACCATCAAGAACCCCCGCTCAACTGTGGATGCTCCCCCGGCAGCTGGCCGGGGACGAGGTCGTGGCCGTGCCCATTGAGGCACTCCACCCGTCACCTGACAAGCTGGCAGGCTGGCTGCAGGCACGCTTATTCTCCCTGGCCTGGTTAATCCGAGTTACAAGGAGGGGGTACTTGGCCCACTGTGTTCTCATGGGACATTATTTAAATAAAACTTAAGACTTAGAATTACTTTGTAAGTTATTTGGACACAGAAGTTTTTGTCATCAGTGAGGCTGGAGCTCAGAAGTTTAGCTTTGAAGCACTCGCATGATAGGAATCTTGCACAGATAATCTTGCATCCTGCCATGAGCTCTACTTGAGTGGGCTTTACCTGGCAGCTTTGCTGGGGCTGCATCCGTCACAGAAGTGGCCCACAGGAGATGTCCTTTTCTTCTGCCATCGTCTTAGCTCCGGCCTAGTGAGCCACTGCTCCCCAGGGTTTCTCTCACTGAGCAAGCATGCTCCAGTACCCCATGTCCCTCCTCAGCTCCATACTGGGCTTTGTTGCCTCTTACTCGAGATCTTGAGGCTGAGGGTTATAGGAGGGGTGTTTAGAGATCACACACACCTCTAAACTCCAGTGACCTGGAAGTCCTCTGAGGTGCCTGAAAGATCACAGGTCTTTTTAGTTTAGCTGCCCGTGATCTGGAATGGCCAGCCCAGATAAACTGGAAATCGAGCAGGGTCTCCCAGCCTCCCTACCCTAGTCCCAGCAGCTGGCCTGCTATACTTAGTCATTATTAAAGCAGGAGGTTCATGATTGTACTTTGAGCTACTGAAGTTTTTGCTGCCTAGAAAATAATTTTAAAACCTCTGAACTTGGGACCAGTGGGTGGCACAGTGGTTAAGGTGCTGGACTCCCACATGGTTGACTGGTTCTGGTCCCACACCTGTCAGCTTGAAACTCAAGGCAGTGCATGTGTGTGTGCGTTCCTAAAATCCCAAGAGGAGAATGGAGAAGAGACTGTGGCATGGCCATCTACCCTGGGAGTGATTTATTGTCTCTCCAGTGAGTCAGTGAGTGTACACACCCTATAGCAAAAAAAGTCTCAACAACAAAAAAATCTCTGAGCTTAGCCAATTCTGGCCAGATGGACTCCAAAGCTAAGTGGGGTGATGGGCAGGTCTAGGTTTTGGAATCTGGCCTCCCTTCTAACTTGGTCTTTTTCTGAACCTTAGCTATATTACCTGTACCACAAGAACAGCTAGCCCACAGGATTGTGAAGGTTAAAATAAAAACGCTGTTTGCTTGATGTTAGAGCCAAGTTCAAACCTAAACTTTTTTTTTTTTTTTTTGGAGGTTTTTGCTATAGGGGGCATCGGCTTTCCCGCACAGGCTGGCTGCAGGCACGCTTATTCTCCCTGGCCTGGTTAATCCGAGTTACAAGGAGGGGGTACTTGGCCCACTGTGTTCTCATGGGACATTATTTAAATAAAACTTAAGACTTAGAATTACTTTGTAAGTTATTTGGACACAGAAGTTTTTGTCATCAGTGAGGCTGGAGCTCAGAAGTTTAGCTTTGAAGCACTCGCATGATAGGAATCTTGCACAGATAATCTTGCATCCTGCCATGAGCTCTACTTGAGTGGGCTTTACCTGGCAGCTTTGCTGGGGCTGCATCCGTCACAGAAGTGGCCCACAGGAGATGTCCTTTTCTTCTGCCATCGTCTTAGCTCCGGCCTAGTGAGCCACTGCTCCCCAGGGTTTCTCTCACTGAGCAAGCATGCTCCAGTACCCCATGTCCCTCCTCAGCTCCATACTGGGCTTTGTTGCCTCTTACTCGAGATCTTGAGGCTGAGGGTTATAGGAGGGGTGTTTAGAGATCACACACACCTCTAAACTCCAGTGACCTGGAAGTCCTCTGAGGTGCCTGAAAGATCACAGGTCTTTTTAGTTTAGCTGCCCGTGATCTGGAATGGCCAGCCCAGATAAACTGGAAATCGAGCAGGGTCTCCCAGCCTCCCTACCCTAGTCCCAGCAGCTGGCCTGCTATACTTAGTCATTATTAAAGCAGGAGGTTCATGATTGTACTTTGAGCTACTGAAGTTTTTGCTGCCTAGAAAATAATTTTAAAACCTCTGAACTTGGGACCAGTGGGTGGCACAGTGGTTAAGGTGCTGGACTCCCACATGGTTGACTGGTTCTGGTCCCACACCTGTCAGCTTGAAACTCAAGGCAGTGCATGTGTGTGTGCGTTCCTAAAATCCCAAGAGGAGAATGGAGAAGAGACTGTGGCATGGCCATCTACCCTGGGAGTGATTTATTGTCTCTCCAGTGAGTCAGTGAGTGTACACACCCTATAGCAAAAAAAGTCTCAACAACAAAAAAATCTCTGAGCTTAGCCAATTCTGGCCAGATGGACTCCAAAGCTAAGTGGGGTGATGGGCAGGTCTAGGTTTTGGAATCTGGCCTCCCTTCTAACTTGGTCTTTTTCTGAACCTTAGCTATATTACCTGTACCACAAGAACAGCTAGCCCACAGGATTGTGAAGGTTAAAATAAAAACGCTGTTTGCTTGATGTTAGAGCCAAGTTCAAACCTAAACTTTTTTTTTTTTTTTTTTGGAGGTTTTTGCTATAGGGTGCATACGCTTGCCAGAAAGAGACAGAAAGCAAGAAATCATACCCCAGGGGATGGCCACGCCGCAATCCCTTTTCCTCCATTCTCCTCTTGGGATCTTGGGCACGCACACACATGCACCCGGCATGAGTTTAAGCCACGGGGTCTGGGACTCGAACCGCCATCAACTACATGGGAGTCCAACAACATAGCCGTTAAGCTAATTGCTGGTCCCAACACATTCTTTTTCTGATCTTAAATATTTTGGGACCTCCATATTCAAATCACTGACGCAAGTCCATTCTATAAAATAGGACAGTTGAGGCCAGGCCATGATGGCAACTTGGTCTCCCCGAGTTGAAGCCTCCTGAGGGTCAAGCCAGTGAGGGGCTGGGCAGCACCTGCTGCTGCTGTACTTGTGTTGGGTCTGTCCTTGTGGACGGCCTCTGCCAGCTGAGGGTCAGAGGCTTTGTCTGGGGTAAACTAGGGCAGCCTTCCACATACTTCATCCCATTGACGCTGACTGGGTCGTCCTCCTTTCTGCCCAAGCGCGCTCCAGCTGCAAAAGCCCTGGTGATAGAGACAGATACAGCCACGTGCCACTTACTTCCCTGGGGCAGATACGCCAGTTTCACCATCTTTTATTGAATACAGAGCTGTAAGTTCTCTGATGCCCGTATAAGTCCTTTTAGATACATACACTCAAGTACATTCGGCATAGGGCATCCATGGGTGACGGAGCAAAGTGCTAGGATGGTGATGCCTGGGTGGGGCAGAAGTGGGACCAGGGAAGGCCCCCTGGGGGCTGGAGGTACAGGCACCACTTCAGAAACAAAAGTAAAACCAAAAATTGCTCTACCCCTCTGCCTGCTGTGCTTGGGGTGGGGGAAGCTACCCTCTCCCAGCTCAGGCCTGCAGTCTGGCTGTGCGGGAAAGGCAGGGCCTGGGGCCAGTTGCGGAGGCCACTAGCACACCACTAGAGCCATGCCTGCTGGCAGCAGCCACAAGGCCAGCCTGGGTCACCTCAGGCCTCTGCCTCTGGATGCAAGACCCCTGCCAGGGCAGGGCTGAGGCTGGGCAGCACAAGGCCAAGCCTCCCAGGGGCCATGCTGGCGGTGGCAGAGGAGGCTTGGCCTCATGGCAGGAAGCCTGCCTGATTGTCAGGTCAGCCTTGGGACTGGCCCAGGTCCCAAGGGGTTGGGGAGGGAGCAGTTGCCTTAGTTGGCCATAGTATTCTGGTCATCACCCAGTCTAAACCTTATCCTCAGGCAAGGCTGCCGATGAACACGCTTGTCCAGGAATAAATACATACACACGATACACAGCAATATATACAGAAATGCAGGCCCAGGACAAGGTGGGTGAGAAAGCCACGGCCACCAGGGATAGCAACGTGCAGGCCCCAGGGGAGGGAAGCCCTACTCATCAGGAACTGACAGGTGGGGACAGATTCCATGGGTTCAAGTTTAATGCCTCTTGACACTTGGACCATATGCACACTCATCACCTCTCCTGTCTTCACCCCAAGTCCTTAGGAACTGGGTCTTTGGCACCAACACTCACTCTGGGAAGGTCTCTTCTAACTAGTGCCTTAGAGGGATTGGGGCCGGGGCACCACCCCTGGCCCAAAGGATGAGAGACTAGAACCGGGGGACAGGTGGGACCCAAAGGCAAAAGACAGCCAAACCTTGGAGTAGCAGGCCTTGGGACATAGGCCTCTTGGTTTTTGCTTTTGTGGGTTTTTGTTTTTGAAACAATTCCTGAGGGCCTGGCTTGGACTCCAGTATCAGGACAAAGAAAACATGAGCTGCCTTGATCCTTAGGTGGTCTCTCTTGGCCAGTGGAAAAGCCATGGTCCTGGGTAGCCCATGTTTCTTCCCTGAAGGGATGCATATATCTATCTTTACTTCCTGCCAGTGCTGTGGGGGAGCAGCTAGCTATGCCAAACTGCCCAGGTGCCAGGACAGCTTACACCTGTGGGACATCCACACGCTGGGGCCCCTGGAGGAGGGCCTGCCTTGGTTTGCTCTCATTCCCTTTTCACATCTCACTAGGTATGATAAATGGTGGAGGGCTCCCCTTTGGGTGGGTGAAGATGGGAAGAAGTCCTTTAGGGATGGCCAGGCTTCCTGTCCCTTTCCCCTATCCTCAGGCCTGTGTGAGAAGTGAACAAATTGAACATTCTAGCAAACAAGCCAAAGCTCCCCACTCAGCAGTGGGGCTCCCTGAAGAGAGAGTGAAGTAGCATCAAGTCTGTGGGGCAGGGGGCTGCAAAGCTGCCAGTTCCCAGGGCATACACGAGGGCCAGAGCACAGGACTATCAGCTCCAGGAAGATGGAGGGAAGAGACTGGCAGTGGGACACGCTGTGACCTGTCACTGGGCTTGGGCCTCTGCAATATGCACTCCCACACCTTCGCACACACAGCCAGAAAATATGGGGGGAGGGCTTGCTGGGCTCCTGGAAGCAGCTGGACCTGTGGGAGGCAGACTTCCCACCAGGCAGGGGAGAGGGTCTTGTTCACCCCTCCGCCCCTGGTGCTGGTGGCGCTTGGTGCTGTTGCAGATGAATGAATGAGAAAATGAACCTACTAGTATCTTTCCTTTCAGCACCACCTTCCTCCCCACCTAGTTCACTGCCCATGCACCCTGACCTCTTTCGCCAGCCATTCCAGCGAGCACCACCCAGGCGGAACAGCCCAGAGCCCTGTGTTCTGTGCCCACAGCCCTGGGGCAGTGAAGTCCCTCAGTTGGGCAGCTTAGGCCAAGCAGGGCATCGCTTTGTGCTTTGTCCAGGAGATAGGGAGAGCAGCACCTCTGGTCCTGGGGTCATGGGAGCAGGGACTACAGAAGCACTTGTTGGCAAGGCAGGGCAGCCAGGCCCTGAGCGGACCTCCCTCTCCCCAGACGCCCAGAGAAGAGGGAAGTTGTGCTTCTCCTTCTTGTGACTCCTGGGAACAGGGTCGGGAATGTGGGAGCTGAGGGAGTCCCCTGCTCTAGGGTAGGGTTGGGGTACCACATAGCCCAGGCTTGTACAGAACTGGGCAGGGGGTTGCCGATATGACACCCTTGGTATTCAAAGGGCAGAGAGAGAATAAGCCACAGGAGGAAAAGTGAGCAAAGATGGAAAGAGCGGGGCCAGAGCCAGGGAGCAGAACTGGGAAGCTGGGTGCATGGCCGAGCCCGTGCAGCCCCAGCTTGGGAGGACTCTTTACAGAGGAAGCCAAGTCTGGTCCTGAGGTCCAAGCCAGGTTGTGGCAGAAAGCTGGGCCCTCAGAGAGGACTGGGAATGAGAGGACTTAGCCCTTGCCAGGACCAGCAGCCTAACAGCGAGGGCTGGGAGGCAATCCTTTACAGGAGGGGAGACCCTAAGATGGATCCAGGCTAGATGTTTGAGAGAACTTTCCAAATGAAGGCTGGCACCATCTGCCTCTTGGCCAATGTGGGAGTTTTGAGAGGAGAAACTGGGAGACCTCAGTTCTTGGAGCCTTGGTGGTGGGACCTGGTCCTTTGCAAGGGCCAGTTTTGAAAAGACCCACTGACATTTGGTGGCCAGTAAGCCAAGCAGCTCCGGCCCAGGCTCTCCAGCGGAAGGTGGCCATTAGCCCTCAGCCCATGTGGCCTGCAGAGATGTGGAGTGGGGGTGGTGGGAGGTTGTGGGGAGCAATTCTTAAGGTTGCTCCTTCTCTTCCTTGACCCCATGAGTCTGGCTCCCTGCCCAGGCCACACCTTCACACAAGCTAACTGGACAGGGAAGCACAGGGAGCTGCCCCCTGCTGGCCTCCTACAGGCCCAGCACAGAGGGGTCCCACAGTGCCTCCCTCCCAGTAGCCTTGGGGACCCCTGCCCAAGCACCTGGATTAGTAGGAAATGTCTTGACAGAAACTACTCACTGCTGACAGGCCTTGGCCTTCCTAGGGCTGGGCCCTTGACCCTCTTGAGGGTCCCTCAGGAGTGACCAACAGGTTAGAAACATGCACCTATTAGCTCTGGTCTGTGGTGGGGTGTATGGTGGTCGGAAGAGGGGGGTCTTGTCTTAGAGCAGTACATTTTCGCCACCTGGCATCTCCTCCAGTTGATCAAGGTGGTCTCACAGGAAGAAAGTCTGGGTGACCGTTTTCCTTCCAAACCTGCCTCCACAACCTCCACTGTACCCTCACCCCACGCTTTCCTCTGACTGCATGCCCAGACCCCTAGCCTGCCCATGTTATCCCTGGAGAATGTGGACCTAGGTGAGCTGGGACAGGGTGGGAAGGGCGGAGAGACCTCCTTGCCCAGTCTGAGCTGCCGTGTGCAGCCTTCTGGCTGACACCTGGCCCAGGGCTCTGACCAGAGGCCGGGCACCAGGAAGGACAGGCACAGCGGAGGAGCCACTGGGTGGTTATTGCAGGTCCTCCAGGTGCCGACACCAGGTGCTGGTGGTGACATCTCACTGGCTGTGCCAGAAGGCTGCTTCTGCTGGGGGTGGTAAGGGAGTCGAAGGGCAGCTTCTGTCCCAGTCCCTGCCGTGGGGAGGCAGTGCCCTGGGTCAAGCCTGTTGCTCCACTGTTCCAGGAAGAAGACAGGAAACCATCAGCCCCTCCCTGAAAGCCAGGGATAAACACTAGGCCTCCAAAGGCGTAGTCCAAGCCAGGGTCCTTTGGGAGTCCTAAGAGAGTACCCTGGTGTGGGGCTGGCAGGGGCCCTGCCGCCCCCCACCCGGGTTAGCAGCCACCTTCCACCTTGATGTGCAGGATCTTGGAAAAGCCGGGCCTCCGTCGCAGGGCCTGCGGGCCGAACCTGGGGTTAGTTCTGAGCCAGTAGATGGGGCCCTCCTGCCACTCACTCACTCAGGTCACCAGCCCCAACCTAGGGATGCCACTTGGAGTCTGAGGTGGACTCAGCTGACTCCTCACCTGGAGTTTCGTGACCATGTCTTCAAACAGCTTCTGGGCCTCAGGACTGCTGGGCTCTTTGAAATAATCAGCGATCCCAATCTGGACCACGATGGACTTGAGGTTCCGGCAAATGCCTGGGCAAAGGTGGGTAAGCAGGGACCGTGTCTGGCCTGGTCAACGGGGCCACCTCCTCTCCTCTCACTAACTAATGAAACCAGACGCCCACTGAGAGACAGCCATGGGCCAACGACTGGGAACAGAAAATAGGACAGCAGACCTCCCTGGCACAGGAAGGATGAGGGGAGAAGGCAGTGAGGGGCCTGAGGAGGAGGAGAGGCTATAGCGGACCCTGGAAGAGGAGCAGGAAGTAGCAGAAAATTTGAGGACTCTAGGGACTTCCCTGGCAGAGGTGCCCAAGCACAATGGCCTAGGCACAAGGAAATTGGAGACCATAATACGGGGGCTGAGCAGTTAGTCCTGACGGTAAGGTGCAGGATGTGGCTGTGAGAATGAACGGCAGGGAAGAAGGTCCCAGACATAAGAAGGCCAGGGACCCTTCAAGCCGTCAAGGTACAGAGTTCTTGCAGGGGCCAATTGGTCCTGGAAAATGGTCTCCTTTGGGAGGACCAGCCTCTGCTGGGCAGGCCTCTCCTCAGTGAAGGCAGAGGAGTGACTGGGAGTGGAGCAGATGGTTTGAGGGAGGTGAGTGGCCAGAGGAGGCATGACACTTATCTCATGTAATCCTCCCACCTGTTCTAGAAAGTCAGCTTAGAAGATGGAATGCAGTGCTCAGAGAGGCTTAGTAACCTGCTCAAAGTCACACAGCTAATGAACGGTAGAGCCAGCACGGGGCATAAGTCAGTCAAACTCCAGAACCTGTGCTCTTTACTTGTCTATTCTGCCTTTGTCCGTGGTTGGAGAGCTGGGTCTCTAAGGTGGGTAGCATGTGTCTGTCAAACTGAACTATCTGCACCAGTTGCTGGAGGGCCTCAAGTACCACACTGGCCTCAGGAGGCCCTGGTGGCAAAGCCGGAGATAGAACCCTGCTTGGTCTGACCACAGCGCTAGTTCTTGCACCAGGACCTATTTATGCTCTCTGTCAGGGCACGGTCACACCCTGCCCCGCATCCCACTGCTCACTGTTGAAATGCAGCAGGGCCTTGGGGGTGACGGGGGTAGCCGTGAGCACCAGCATCTCCAGTCCTTTCAGGCCTTCCCGGCAGACCTCGGCCGCCACCTCCTGGGTGATCTCGGACACGTGGTCCAGCTCCAGGACCTGCAGCCGCATGCAGTTTCTCGCTAGGAGGAAGGAGGAAGGAGGAGGGAGGCCATGCTGACTAACTCCCCACCACCTCCTGCAGTGCCTTAGGGCCCCTGCCACCACCCAGGCTGCAGCCCCGGGCCCCCTGTAGGACTTCACAGGCATCCCTGCCCACTTCTTACCAACCCCTATCCTGTCCCAAGGAAAGACTCACCAAGTGATGCCAGGCCCTGTACCCCACAGCCAGCGCCCCCAACCCCGAGGGCCCGGAGGTGGGGCCAACAGCGACCGATCATCTGGAGGCAGCGGTTACTGAAGCGCGTTGGCTGCTGGCTGGAGTAGGGGAGGGGGTCGTCAGGGAAGCCTCTGGAATCCTGACAGCCAGAGCGTGCTCCTTCCCTGAGAGCCCTCCCTGCATCAGGCAAGTGTCCTACCCACAACTCAGCTGCTCAAGTCAGAAAACTGGGAGGCGCTGGCCGGTGGCGTGGCAGTTAAGGTGCTGGACTCCCACATGGCCAACCGTGGTCTGAGTCACAGACCTGGTGGCTCACTGTCTCACTTTCCCTTTCTTTCTCTCTGTCTCTCTCTGGTCAAATGAAAAAATAACAATAAATAAAATATTTTTAAAAATGAAAACTGGGAGCACTCTTAGCTCGCCCCTCCCTCGCCTTCGGCTGAGACTCCCATTCCTGACTCCAGAATACACAGTTCAGACCACTGTGAACACTCGGTCTTGGTTATA